ACCATGTGGTTGATTATTCATACTAGAATTTAGAATTAAAAAAATCTGCAAACTGAGAACTTTTAAATTAATTATGCCAACGAAATGATATAAGTTCAAGTACTTGTATTAATCCCAATATTCTCATTTCAAATCTATCAGTAGCAACAGTTTTTTCCTTTTTTTTTTAACAGCAGATATTTCATCGCAAATGATTTTATATCATGAAGTAAATTAACACTGAACAATGATGGTAAGTGGTATGAGTTACGTTACATTACCTGTATCAAGTATGATACACGATTAATTGTATATGACAATTCCTTATCTGTTGAAGAATTGACAATTTTACAACATTATAATGGTGAATGATCAGTGCACCAATCCTACAGCTAATACAATAAATTAAAATATCGGAATTTGCTTAAAATCATATACTTTAAATAAAATTCCAATCGATTTAACGAACTAATCAATAGATAATGATACTACCATGTGGCATATCATGTCACTAACGAATAAAATGGAAACGATATGACAAGAATGCAATTTCAAAGAGATGTAAAAAAAATGTGATGTGAAAAGTCGAATCAAATTTTAGAATAGTAAAAATCGTTGAATAAAATTCCAAACTGAAATCATTCAAATTTCTCAAATCTCAAACGATTGTAATCAAGAACGCAAAAACCCAAAAAATTAAAATTTCGTTAATAAGCGTCCGATGCTTGATAGATTCGCAACAACCATATCGCTATTCATCCAACTGTCTGGCATTCTCTAACAAATGCAATATAACTTTTGTTGTTCTAACTGTCTCCAATACATTCTATTTTAATTTCGAACATTTGAAAGTAGCCTGAAATGAAAAATATAGGTGACTTGTGCAACCGGTACATATACATGACCTGAGTAGATGAATTCCGGTTTTTTGAGCAAGATTTTTGCCGGATTGTGATAGTAGTATTGTTGTGATTGTGAGAATTTCACTTATTACAATGACTAACTGTATCACGTACATTGTTGTGAACCGAATTCTGAAATTGTTTCACATTACCCCAGATCTTACGCACTCAGAATTGCATGACAAATTAGGATTGTTGCATAGTAAAATTTCACATGAGATATTGGATTTAATATGAGGTTACACTTTACACGTGGGCCGTAAGATTTAACGTTGGGATTACACGTGAGGCTCGAGACTCGGTGTTAGTGTTAAGCGTGAGCTGTAGAATTTAAAGTTGAGGTTATAGATGAGACTAAGATTTAACGCTGAGGTTATACTAAGCCGTAGAGTTTAACGTTGGAGTTACCGCGGGCCGTAGGATTTAAAATGAGGTTACACGTGAGCCGTAAGATTTAACGTGGGCGGTGGGATTTAACATCGAGGTTGCACATGAGCCTAAGACTTAGCGCCGGGGCTATACGTGAGCTATAGGACTTAATGTTGAGGTTATTGCGTGGTGTGGTTTTATTTTATCACTTTTTTCATCATATTTTATCACTTTGACTTTTTTAGGTGGTACTTACAGGTAAGTATAATTTCCAGAAATGGCTAAGAGTATTCGATCAAAATCAAAACGACGGGTACGTGCTATTAAGCGTGAACGACTAGCGCCACGCGTATTGAAGCGTTTGCAGGCAACTGTCTCAAACCTTGACTATAATAAAATAAAGATGGAAATTAATAACTCCGGTAACTTTTTTCCCGTTTGTCTATTGTCATCTTTTCGACCATTCTATGAGTTGTCATAAATAGACGTGGAGGAGTGGGGTATAATACGTTGAAACCATCACTGAATTGATACTTGTTGGAGATGATTAGAAGACTAAGTTTTAGTGGATATTAAAGATGTGTGGCTTAATATAAATGGATCTGGAATAGCATGGTGCGAATAACTTAAGCTAGGACTAAAAATTTCAGAGAGAGCGTATATATGCATTAGAAGTGACAATTAGGAGTGAAGACTTAATACAGGAGGCTGAGCTGTTGACAGTATGTGTTTTTCATTTTCAAGTTAAGTTGTTTTGGTTCGATCGTTATACTTGCTGAAGTTCTTAGTCCATTAGTTGTGGGTTTAGATATGCTAATTATAGATATTTTTTCTTTTTTTTTTTTTTTTTCTTTTTTTTTTTTTGTTCAATTACTATCCATTTATTGCAGACTTGGCAGATAATTCTAATGTGCAGTTTGCAAGGGTGAGTTTTTCTCGACACATAAAATTTATTGGAATGATATCGTAAAAACAGTATTCCCAATGAAGAAAAGCATCCCTAGTGAGATCGACGAGATGGTCGAGAAACACAACTTTTATTGGGGTTACATTGAAAATATGGTCGCATAATTATATGTTAATTAGATAGGGCACACGCATTTAATAGAAATTGTCAGTAACATAGGATTACTTTGGCTTTTTTTAGGTCGAAGAATTTTAATTGAGATGGTATAGTGTTTATGTTGTCATGACAATGATTCTTTTTATCTTTGCAAACAGAAGTTGTTATGCTAAATGTGTTTAGGTTGTTTGTAAAGTTATTTATACTACTAAGGTTATTTATACTACTATTTGTAAGGTTATTTATACTTTATACTACTAGTAGTCCTTTCCGATTTGTTACTGATTTCTTTAAATTAATGGCTCCAAATTGGTAATCTGAGCATTAAAATTTGAAATATTAAATTTTGCAAGGACTATTAAAAATTGTATCCCTTTTTTTTGATTGTGATGTTACTCCAGGTTTAACCAATACGTTAAAAGTTTTGATAGAAATATGCTTTCAAATCGAAAGAATTTATTATTTTTGAGCCATGCTAGAGATAAGAAAGCCAAAGTAGTCTCTGGTTAAGATAAGGTTCGGAACCACTGCTTTAAATTATATGACGAGGGATGGTTGATGGGAGAGAAGGAAAGGATTATTATTCATTCGTTATCCTTTTTCTGTTTTATCGGTGTAATATAAGTTAAAAAAAAAATTTTTTTTGAATTTCAGATGGAAACTGATGGTGAAAGCTTAAATTTAAAGACGATGAAAAAACCAGATGGTTCGTATCCGGTTTGGCTGAGCCAGCGAAAGATAAAGAAGAAGAAGCGTGAACAAAAAATTAAGCAAAATGCGAAGAAGAGGAAAGCTCGAAGGAATCGCTGAATTTAGACTTTTTTATTTTGCACCTTTCAAATAAAAATGTCAACTTATTCTTTGTGTCATTTTTCGCAATACTTTATCATTGGTAGATTATCTATAGGTCCCTTTAAAGCATGTTATTTATTTCTATGAAATTTGCAGATAATACATTGGGAAAGTTAATCATATTTTAAAATCGGAATTAATGTTAGATTGTCACAAATTCCTTAGGAACACTGATGGAAGTTCTTGGCTGTTGAACTTATAAGTAGAAAAACAATAACAAAACATTCCAGTTATTGAAGTTAACTTCTGGATGTGAGAAATATCCGGCTAGCAATCACTTTTGTATCCATCTTGTTATTTTCTCGTATATTTTGTTGATAATTAGATTTTTTTTAATATAATTTGAGATATGAATAATTATTGTTTTAGAAGTATCAAAAAAACTTAAGATGCAGTAACCCGAACTGCTTTCTGAATTTATTATTCATATGCCTAAATAAAAAGCAATCAGTCCTGCACAACACAACACTTAATCAAAAATATAAAGCTAAATGTATTAAAATATTTTGCTGCAAGATATCTGCAACATCGTTGGGCACATATGGTAGGTGAAAGAAATATGTCTTTTCCTCTATCGTAAGGCGCTTGTGGTCTCGAGTGAATCATTAAGTTGTAAGGAAACAAGAATAACTTTGCATGTGTCGCCTGTTCTCAACTTATGTTTTCCTATCTATGAGAACCAAGGTTAAACCTTAGAACTGTTCTATGAAGGTTTTGGTTGATAATTGGTAACTTATTACCTGATATTTTTTTGGTAACCTATTGCACAAATGATATTCCAATGTATTACTTGACATCCGGGAAGTAAACTTGCTTTTCATACCGGAATCCACGACCTGAACTCCCTACACTTCAATTTGGCTCATATAAAAGCCAATTAAGCTCATCAAGAGGTATTACGTCTATTGTCTATTTAAAAGAAAATTGATTAGAGGTAGGAGAATGTATTTTTAGAATTTTTTTCTAAAGAAAAAGTTACTTTTTATAATTGGAACGAAATAATGGAACAGGTGGATTATGATAGTAAACGATAATAACTTATATAGTGATAATTATGATAATCCCTTATATTATGATAATAAACGGTGAGTTTGAAATTTTATTCATTCGATTACATTAAGACAGCGATACAATTAATGTACGTGATACGTGAATACGTAAACTCCAGTTAATACCTGTTATTTTTAAATGTTGAAATACCTTCCAGTATCTTAACCGACGTAAATAAATTATGTACACGCAAGAATAGCCTTATATTTACACTTATTTATGAATAGGAAAATAAAAAGTTTAGAAAGTGAATTTAAATGAAAAATAATGATGTATTATTTATTGGCGCTTTTTTACCTTTCCCGCTCGAACAATTTACCTTTAATTTCATCTTCATTACATACAGTAAGTATTTCTATCCTTTATGTATTATAGTCGAATTTTTCGAAATAATTTCTTTTTTAAATTTCTTGAATTTTTCATATAATTCTAAAATAATTCAATTTAACGACTTTTGTAAATTATTCACTAATTTCAGATGAGTCAAAATGTTCGTTTGTGTTGTTGACAACAAAAAGTTGATGAAATTAAATAATGGATGATAAGATGAGATGTTAATATATGAATACACAAATATGGAAAAATGTCTAAAAAAGCCTTCTGAATCAGAAGGTTTTTGATTCAGAAGGCTTTTGAATCAGAAGCAGTAGTCAACAAAATTTTGGGTCAATCAAAAAAAAAAAGACAAAAACAATCTGAGTGCAGAAGTAATAAAGTGGAAACGAGAAAAAAAAAAGCGCATTAATCTCATGTATTATCCTCTTTTTTTTTTTTGCTTCCTAGCCTAGTCAAAAATGAGCCAACAATTGGCTGCTTAATCCAGCAAAAATTATCACTTCTACCTCAAAGTCCTTATTTCTTGACAAGTCATTTTATAATCATAAACGGTGAATATTTTATTATCATATTCATAAAGATATCTGCCAATAATCATCGAGAAAAAAAAACAGTATTATTCAACTTTTGGCTAATTTATCCGATAATGAATTATTTTTTATGGTTTACTAGTTAATCCGGTAGCATTTCATACAATTCTCAAACTTTTAAGATGACTAATTAATTAGTCCATTAGTTAATGGGTTGATTTTAGTAAGTTTGTGAGAAAGAAAAAAAAAAAGCACATCATTACATAATTCTAATTGAAGAGCTTAGGATGAATTTTTGAATTAATTTATTAGCTTGATGAAACCTATCGAATTTAATCTATGAAATTAACCTTCTCAAATAACATTGAAACTTAGAAAAGTCGTATAAGACGATAAAATTCATCTTAATGATATATGCTTATTACTTTAGTGTTATCGAATTGATAAGCATCATATGTTGATAATTTTAAAACTAAAGCCATATATGTTTATTGCAGAATCCAAGCCATTCTACGTTTTTTTCTTTTTATCTTTTCTCCTATGATTATAGTGATATTTTTTTAAATAAAATTTTACCTTAACATTCCACTTGAAATTATATTTTAATTCTCATTGCATCTTCTAACAGAGTTTGTCAAAAATTTTATTCGTCATTTTATTTGAAAATGATTAATTTTTACTTTTTATTATTTGCTCAATTTCTCTTTTATTACTCTTTGTTTATCGTTTTCTCTTTCTTTTTTCCTTTTTTTTTCTTTTTTTTGGTGGAACGGTTTTTTTATTCTTTTTTCCTTTTTTTTTAAATTGACAATTTTACTGTAAAAAAAAATTGATTAGAATATGCGTTGATTAGAATATGCATTAGTAATTAATGCAATATAATTGAAACGTAACGTAAACAAATATGCGAACACGTATGAGGAACCAAACGCACAAACCACGTACGAGCAGGCACACGCCATCTTAGACGTTTCACCCCTGGACTTCAATTTTTCACCTTTCACTCAATTTGAACTTTTCATCTTCACAGCAATGGAAGAAGTTCAGGTATTACGTGCTACACGCAAGTATGTAATAGTTCGAAGATTCCTCCGTGATACGGTTGAAATTGTTATGTTCCTGTGAAACTGCAAAATTGTGCAATCCAACCAGCGGAGAATTAAGCACTGTTATATTAACATCTTAATTGTCATCTTTTATTATATATTGCACGTATTGCCTGAACAGATACCGTACAAAGCATACGATACATACTTTTATTAGAGATCATATTAATTATTTGAGCATACGATACAGATCATGCGTATTTGTTGCTTACGGTGTAGGGAAGTGGTAGGAAATTGAAGTCATGCACTTTTCTACTGCTATTAAGTGCATGACTTATCAATAACAGCTTTAGCCCTACAACTGCAATTTTTTCCCTAACAACTTTTTCTCCAGATACTGTAATCAGGATACCAGATACAATAATAAATTCTTCTTCGGGAATAGCATTCCCCGATAATGTAACCATTTTTCCTTCAACAGCTGTGCACTTTGGGTATTATAAGCAATGCTTTTTAAACAGTTTTGTGTCCCAGATATTGCATTCATTTCATTATCAACAGCAATGATACTGTAAATTAAGAATAACAATTGTATGTTTTGAATATTGCAATCAAATCCCAGCTATCCCAGATATTGTAATTAATTCATCCTCAACAATTGTAACTAAATCCCAGATACTGGATAAGTCCCAAATACTGTATGAGCTAGGTAAATGATATATGACTTAGATAATGCAGGAATTGGATACTGTATGGGTCCTGGATACTGTATGAGTCCCGGATACTGTATGAGTTCTAGATACTATGCGAGTTAAATGAAATTGGCTAGAATATGATATTGATAGTATATGTATGTTTGTGTTTGTATGTTTAAATGCTAACTGAGTACAATTTATATTTTGAAATTGTAGATGTGAGATGGATGGATGATGGTTGGTTGGTTGGTTGTTGCAAGAGTGGAAGAGTTTTAAAGCACGACAAGTTGAAGTGGTGATAGTACTGATCGATGATTGTGTGAAATTTTAGCTCATTTTCGATGTATACAATGTACTCTTCCGGCTTTCTCCTCTTTTTCCTCCATCTTCTCCTTTACAATATTAATAGTTTTGCGGATGAAATTACTTCAAATGCTGCTAAAATATGGACTATATACTATCCACATCAATTTGATAGAAGTAAGTTAAGTTAATTATCATTTCATTTCTATATCATTCACTTTTTCTTAATTTATCTGGAATATTCGATAATTAAATGATATGTAATTAAATTACTGCCAATAAAATGAAATGAATATTTGATCTTCATTGTTATAATTGTAACATTTTTGTGTGTGAGAATAATTTATTCGTTATTAAAACAAATAATTAATTTAATTTCAATTAAATACAAAAAAACTGAATTTATAATTTCTATCATTAATTATTAATTTTTTTTAAAGCTATTAATTCATGTATCAATTGAATAAATAGATTTTTAGTTTGTTGTTGGATGCGAAAATGATGCAAAAAAAAGTGATATAATCGCATTTTATGATTGAAAATTAAATGCATTGAATTCATTTTGTAACAATAATCATAATAAATATATATATGTATATACATTTTTAGTGATAAGTGATAACGATGATAACAATAACTAATATAGTAACTACATATAAAAGGAACTTGTGACATTAGCATTATTTGAAACTTTTTTTTTTTTAATTATTCCACTAATTAGATTACAAACAATTTGATTTCCCTTTAATCTACACCCTTCTTTTTTCAGTCATTTTTGCTTTATTAAAAACCCATTAAGATTTTTTTTTCTTTCTCGTCAACTTATCTAACGATATATGTTATACCTTATTTTAATATTAATCAAGCCAATTATTAATGATGAAGATAAATTTGCATATTAACATTGAATGATAATTTAATGAATGATTAATAAAATCAAGTTAATTTAAATTAAGTTTTAATTAAAATTTATTTAGGTCAATATTGCCATACGTTACAATGTTCAACTAATGAATTATGCATTGTAAGCGAGAAAACAGCACGTTGTGTTAAAAATGATAAACTTCACGATATGTACGTTCTGATTATTAGTTTATTCATAAAATTTATTTGTTTATATGAATGAGAGAATATAACGCTTGAATGTTATCATTGATAGCAATGATAGAGGATAAATGTTATGATGATATAAATTAAATTTGAAATTCGAGTAATGAATTACTAAATTGCCTGAATATTAAGTTGATAATTGATTAAAGAAGCCATCAAATTGATAAATTACCAAATTAATAATATCTATATATCAAACATTCATGAAATCAATGTTAATGTAAAAAAAAAAGAATTTGTCCTTCACATTGCCATAAGCATAACAGCGAAACAAAATCATTTATTTTTTTTTTTTTGTTTCAATCCTAATTAATTTACTTTAATTAATTTCTTAATTGCTTCATATTTTTCATGTATAATTAAGAATCCGCTTTTGTTTTCTGCTCCTTTTTTTTTAATTTTCATTAGCATTAGCATTTAAATTTGATTTGATCTTTTTTTTAATCTTCTTATTTAGCTTAATTTTAATTTATCAAAGAAACAATGATAATGGTAATGATAATGATAATGACATTAATTATATGCTAATGGTATTATTATTATTATCATTATTATTATTATTATTATTATTATTATTATTATTATTATTATTATTATTATTATTATTCATTATTATTATTATTATTATCATTATTATTATTATTATTATCATTATTATTATTATTATT